TACTCCCATTGGTCCCCAAGATGATTTTTGCAAGATAAATGGGTAAGAAACACCAGCAGGATGAAAGCACAGCTGGGGTAGGGGGGTAGAAAAAAAGAAAAACTGCATAGATTAAATATCCCCTTCTTTCTTCAATTATTTTCCAGTGCACAGTTATCCTCTTCCTGCTAATGCCATCATGCAAGGGATAAAAAGCTGTCAAGACCTTTTCACACAAAGTGTAATGCATAGCTTGTTAAACAAATGCATTTTTTTCAGAGATAAGATGAACACAGCTGCATAAACTATTGGTAAAACATTTGAGAAATCCACATTTATGTTTGAGGCACAGGGATTAGACTAATCATCCCCATGGGATGATATCTGCCAGTTTGGTCTAGTGATTAAGGCACCAAGCTAGAAAATGGAAGATTGTAAATTCTAGTCCTGCCTTAGCCATGAAGGTCAGATGTGTGACTTTGGGCCACTCTCTCTCTCTCAGCCCAACCCATCTCTCAGGTTGGTTGTTGTGGGAAAATAGGAGAAAAGACATGTCTTCCACCTATATTTTTTTATAACAGTAATACAGGTGGGATATAAATAAATGCTTTATCTGTTCAATGTATTCATGGTAATAATTTGTGGAAAATATCAGTGGCTAAATAAAATACAATTATAAAATATGGTTTTTGGTCAAAAACTGGAAGCAAGCAATGGAGAATCTTTCTGTCCATCATGTCCTGCCTGTAAATTTTCAGAAAATTTGAACATTGCTAGATTTATTCCAACCAGTTTTTTATGAAATTTAATACTTCTTTTATTTTAGATAAAATAAAGCCTCAAACTCATGCAGAGATAATTTCAGAGTCTTTAGCATACCCATCTAAATTCAAGTAAAGAATCCAATCTCTGCTCTGCATGCCTTTTATGATATAGATTTATAATCTCAGATAAAATTCATTCTACCACTCATCCTGGACCACCCAATCTGCTTCAGTAACATGCTTGGCTCAGTTTGGGAAGCAAAGAGGACAAGACATATTTAAGAAGTGGCTAGATGGCACCCATTATTCAAGTCACTGCATCCCCCAAAGTAGCTCTCAGCCTTCTCTTCCTTTGATGTTGTCAGAGCAGAATTAAAAAACAGATTAAAAAAAAAACCTCACCTGTTTCCAACTTTGCTGACTAAAGACAAAAGCTAGCAGTCACAGCGTAGCCATTGCTCCCTGTGGGTTTGGCTTGTGGCCAGCACTCCCATCAAACACATACTTCTATTCTTTCAGTAGTCTCCTTGGCACATCATTCCTACATAGGTTTGCAGCCTCTTTCCCAATAGATTAAGAATATAATTTCTGCAAGATTATTCAAATTGTAAGGCAATCTTGACTGAGTACCACAGAGGATCACCAACTCCCTTGCAAGCCAGTGCTTTGAGTGTCAAATGCAGACTCTACCCCCACCCCCAGTTCTCTGCCCTCTACCTGTCCATCTTTCTCTTTTGGTAATCATATTGTTGTATAGGTATTCCTCAATTTATGACCACAATTGAGCCCAAAATTTACGTTGCTAAGTGAAACTCTTGTTAAGTGAGTTTTGCCCCATTTTATGACTTTTCTTGCCACTGTTATTAAGTGAATCACTTTAGTTGTTAATTTAGTAACATGGTTGTTAAGTGAATCTGGCTTTCCCACTGACTTTGTCAGAAGGTAGCAAAAGCTGATCACATGACCCCTGGACACTGTAACCGTCATAAATGTGAGTCAGTTGCCAAGCATCTGAATTTTGATCACATGACTATAGAGATGCTGCAATGGTTGTAAGTGTGAAAAACAGCCATAAGCCACTTTTTTCAGTGCTGTGATAACTTTGAATGGTCACTAAATGAACTGTTGTAAATCGAGGATTATATGTATTCTCATTGTGGTTTTTTTCTAATTTTTTTATTGTTCTATTATCTTACTTTTGTCTGCACTCTTTTCATTTCTTCCTTTCCATTGTTGTAAGCTGCTTAGCGTAGCCCCATAGTGAGATAGGTGGCAAATTGATTTAATAAAAAATAAAATAAAATAAAAAGAATAGGTTAATGAAAAAGGAAAATTACTCCATGCCTTTCTCTGCTAGTCCATTTCATTAAAAGGATTTTTTTAAATGAAGCAAATAGTAGCTTGTATTTTAATACTAACTGTAGAGAACCTTTATTCCTCAGCTAGTAACTTAGAAATGCAGACAAACATTCTCTTCACAGGTTAGTTTTTAACAAAGATTTATATTAAATGGCCTTGGAGAGAGGAGTAGAGCAATGTTTGTCTATCTCAGCAATGTTAAAACTTGTGGACTTCAACTCTCAAGAATTTTCCAGCCAGTGTGCTGGTTGGAAAATTATGGGAGTTGAAGTCCACACACCTTAAAATTGTTGAGATTGAAAAACACTCGAGTTGAGGAATCTCTCTCTTCCACTAGATCCATTTAGAATCTTAGATTGATATTCAAAATGCAATTATGCATGCATACAATTGCTTCTGTTTACTTGCAATAGTTTTTACTTATCTAGATCTGAACACCAGGAATATATCAACATACCCTATTTCATTTCACTGGCTCTAAGCTTTGCATATGGGTGGCTAGATAACTCTTATTTATTTATTTATTTATTTATTTATTTATTTATTTTTATTTGTATACCGCCCTCATATATATGATTATAGTACACTACAATTGTAAATCATGTGACTTGTAGATAATTCTCCAGCAAACCACAATGAACAAGATAATGGCTTGATGCAACTTCTGTTTTAGTCTGCTGAAGATAAGTCCTGGTTTTTATTTTTATTCAAACTGATTAGCTGCTAAAACAAACTGTTCCAAAGTGTTAATATCCTCATTAAGGGATATAAAAGAACTTGGTTATCAATCCTTCCAGATGAGTTGGGTAATCCAGAACCAACTGTGTTGGAAGGGAATGGGAAGAGTTTAAATCTCACACATCTGGATTTCAGAATTAACATTATTCAGATTCGATTCTTTTTAACATAAAAGATGAATATTGAGGGGAATAGCATTTCTAGGAACCGTAGTTTAGATTATTTAAATGGCTGTTTATTGCTGTCAGAATGACAACCATATAAATCACTTAAATAAACAAATCTAAATATATAAAGTATCAAAATAAAGAACAAACTGCTCCCACTTCTACCATGTTTCCCAGAAAATAAGACCCTATATTATATTTTTTTGAACCCTGAAATAAACACTTGGCCTTATTGCCATGCACTCAAACGCCCGATAGGATTTATTTTCAGGGGATATCTTATTTTGGGGGAAACAGGTAATAATATGCACCATGAAATGTAAGAAAAGTCTTGATTTGAAAAGAAGTTCTTTTGTTTTTTATTTAAGATATTGTAACCCAAAAGAAATCACAAATAACAACTCATTTTTCCTGTCTTTGTTCTAATTTTTTTGCTGTCATCAGCAAATCTTAAGATCTCAGAATTCAAATCCAGTTCTAAGGATCTGAATATTTGGGGGTTTGTTTGTTTTTTTGCTCCTTTAAGGAAAATAGGAAATCAAACATTTAGTTTTAATGGTTATGTGTGAGAAGTCCTCAACTTATAACCGGTTGCTTAGGAATTGTTTGAAGTTATGACTGACTTACAGCCTGAATTTGAAATTCAGACAACCACCCAAAATGTACAGCTGTTTGCAGTGTCCTGCAGTCATATGACCATGATTTACAACTTTTTTTGCTAGAAAGTGGCATTTATTCTAGTTTCTGGCAAAAAAAAACAAAAAACACACATTGCGGACAATGGGTTTGTTTAATGGCCACCACAAAAAAAGTTTTAAAATTAGGCATAGTCAAGTGGCGATCTGCTTAATGACCAACGACCATAATTCCAATTATGGTTGTGATTTTGAGGACTACTAGTGCATGTTTTCAATTCTATATCCTACCTCTTGCTGTCAATAGCATTAGTGTGGTCTTCGTATTTTATATTAAGATTAGGAAATAAAATGCTATAATTATGTGTTCTTGCTTACGTTGGCTCAATTTGGAGTTATAGAGCTCTTCCAAGTTTTTCATTAAAATCATGAAATTTACTTTCAAAATGTACCGTGTAAAATAAATGCAGTGTTTTAAGATATTCATTTTCCAGTCACAATAGCAAATTCTCGATTTTTAGGCACCAGAATTGCAAAAAAAAAAAATTGTTAGCAACATTCTAGATTAGCCATCACCAAACTGTATTGGAGCACCAGTTGAGCTGACAAGTACAGTTTACTTAACTTTTTTTAAAAAAAGAATTATACAGGAATATATAGACGAATATAGAATTGCTTCTTTCATATTATATACTTTTTTAAAAAACAAAATCTGACTGCTGATCAGCTGTTCACTTTTACTCCATTTTTGCTCTGGTTTCAGAGAGCACCACCAATTTCAGATAAGCAGAGGAACAATACATATAAAGTAAACATGCAGATAGCCTCTGTAACCTTTTCAAAATGCCATGTCCCCAGGTCCACACTTTCAAGAACAAAATACAAAATCCATTTCCAAACTGCAATTAGCTACTATGTATCTTAATTGGGCACTTAGGGAATGAGCAGATTTGATGTTTCTCATCCCAGGTTAACATTGATCAAAACGGAAGTAAGAAAGAGCAGAAAATAATGAAAACCAACAAGATTCTAAGGCAAGTCCCATTTTCAAACCACCCTTTTTCAAAAGCTTTAAAGCAAGGAGGGGGGGCTCCCTGGGTTTTTGCAAGGGGGGAAGCCGAACTCCACTGGTCAGCAGTCATCACTCCAGAGGGCTGGAAAGTTTGAAGGCCCTTTGCCAAGTTCCTTTCATAAGCAAATACCAACACAATGATGCCATTCATATTCTTGAATTTACTCAGGCTCAGTTACACTGAAAGCAGATGGAAGCAAAAGGAAAGATACTTAAAAGATAATGATAATGGGACATGACAAAGAAAGAGGCAGCAAACAAAGAGAGATCCCTAAGATAGCCTTACCTTCAGTCAGCCAAGTTTCCTGGAACTGGTTTAGATCAAGGAAGAGGTCTACAAGGAAATGGAGCAGAGTGTGATATCACTGAACAGTAGTTCTGGAGCAGTGAAGAATGTTTGAAAGAAACAGTTAAGGCAGCATTTTTCAATCTTGGCAGCTTAAAACTGCTGGATTTCAAGTTCCAGCATTCTCCAGCAAGCAAGCTCGAGTTGAGGTCCATCCATCTTGAAGCATCCTGAAGCTTAACCAAAATAGCCCCACCAGGAACAACTCTTAAAGAGACTACATTCTGAAATTCAGGGCATTTTATTCTAAGGTCACAATCCTAAAACATCCAGCTCTAGCCTGAGTAATAATGTTGTTTAAGTCCTCTCCCAAATGGTAATAAAAAGAGAGCTTTCCTTAACTCTAGCATCTCTTTCTTCACAATTGCACTACTCCCACAGGGAAAAAAGCTGGTCAGGTAAAACTGATTTTTCTAAACTAATCCGTGTTTTTAGAACTGGCTTACTAAAATAGAAAGCAGCTATGCAGCCTGCAAGCATCCAATGCCTTAGCTACTGCAGAATTGTGGAAGATACATTTCAAAGCTGTTAAGAATAAACTTTTTCCTAATTAAAAGAAAAAAAAAGAAAAGGCATTTCTATCCCCAATGAACCCATTTTTAAAAATTGACATTTTTTATATTAACATTGAATGTTGAATTATCAACATTCAAGCTAAATAGAGAATGTTAACCTTTTAAATATTTTATATATGGTGGCTAACAGTCAGGAAGATGAAAATTCTTAAGAGAATTCTCTTATATTATAGGTCCAAGGATTTTGTAGTATGGAAGCAAGCCACAGTTGCTTCCTACCAAGTGGGTTCTGTAAAAAAAAAAAAAAAAAAAATCTGTATCCTCAAGGTGTATCTCTCTGAAGACAAAGAGATTATCTCCAAAAATTCCTTATGCTGTTCATTAGGTAAGCACTGCAGCAATTATCACTCTCCATCTAGGCTGCAGGCAAAGACTATGCAAAGAAAGAAGGTACAGCTTCTGAAACATCATTTTTGATTATTCAAGTGTGTTTCACAGTTAACCAAAGTGAAAGAACCAAAAATGGCATTTAGTAGATCATGTACTGGACATTAATCTTAGGGAATCTGGGTCCATGATAAAACTATGTTATTCCTTGTTTGCAAAACAGGAAGCATGATTGCACTGGGATATCATTATATTTCCAAATCAGGTTGAAGCTTCAAGCTAGAATACATCTCGAACAGGATCGTCTCTGATGCCCTCCATATCTGCCCATTTCCCCCGCCACACACACACCTTCTGAATCTGGGACATGGGGCACACCTGGGTCCATGGATTTCCTCCGTGAAGCCATCACAGCTCTGCTGTGCATAGTTCCATTCCCTGTTGGTTTCTATAAGTAGACAAACAGTACTAAAGTTAATATAAGACAGACCACTGTACCGGGTGCTCAAAGTACTGCTCAAAAAAAACAGAGTCCTCACTCACCTGTGCAGAAGTGTAAGGCACTTGTTGGTCCAAATATCCTTTCATCCTCCCATCAGTCATGGATGCAAGTTTCTCAAAGGCATGGAGGGCATCAGAGATGAAATGAAAGATCCACCAGCTAGCTAGCTAGCTGGAAAGAAAGAAAGAAAGAAAGAAAGAAAGAAAGAAAGAAAGAAAGAAAGAAAGAAAGAAAGAAAATGCATCAATAGATTGAAGTTTTTAAAATGCTACTTGTGATAAGTTCCTCATTGCATGTAATTTGCAGCAGCATCTGCAAGAAGGGTCTCTTAAATGGATTCCCAAGGCACAGGTCCTTTTCCCTGACCCTCCTGTTACTGTTGTCTGCTGGAATGCCTAAAGGTGCTCTTTTTTTTCTCCTCAGCCCCTTCAGAAGAAAAGTCCTTTAATATGATGCTTTCAGATCTGTTGGGATTACAACTCCCAACCTTTCCAACCTTCGTGAGCCATGTGCTACCTTGAAGATGGATCCAATGTCCGAAAGTCTATTTTCAAAACTCAGATCCTCTACAAACTTCTCACCCTTCTGTGTTTCTGCAGTGTCCTCCTTCCCCCTTCTCCTTTCCTGGGTGCTTGGATATTAATTTTTTGCTCCTTTAGCCCTGTAATTTCCTCTACCCCTTCCTCAGCCTATGCTTTGCCCATCCCACTGGACAGGAGTTTAAATCGTATCAACAACTCCTGCCTGATTTTCTCCTCTTCACAAGTTCAAGAAGCCAATCTTCATTATCCACCTCCCTATGCATCTTGTATTGGGGAGTAAGCCCCATTGACCTCAGGGAGACTTTGTTGCAATATGAATAAGATTAGGTTTAAATCTCTCCAGTTTCAGATACCCCTCTGTTTGTTTCGGCTGCCCTTTCCCCGCAAGGCTTCGACCTTTAGATCTTCTTATTTGCCCGTGTTTGCTATACGAGTCTCTCTGCAAGAGCAGCCCTGCTTCCCCAGCACCCACTAGGCCCCATGGCTCTTAAAAGAAAAAAAATCATCCTCGTCCCACCCCCCCTCCCCACTTCTATAAAAGTACGTGAAATAAAGGAATTTCTATGAAAACTTATCTTTTCCTCACCTCACTTCAGAGTGGGAACGCGGCGGGTCAGTTCAGGTCTTTCCTGCTGGCCCCCACCTGAAGGCAGCTGATTTCAAACAAGAAGAATATACTGCTTCGCGAAAAAACAGAGCCGTGTGGAGTTGCTCCCGCCTCTAGCCCGCAGTCGTTTCCTCTTTCACAGAAACAGACTCTTTTCTGTTTCTCTTTGTTTCATTGACTTTGTGAATGAAAGAAAGGAGGGGGGGGATTCCCTAGGCTCGCTGGGACACGCCCAACCAATCAAGGCTCAGCGTGGCCCTCAACCAGATTGGAATAAGGCGTGGTTTGAATGCTTTGAGCCAATCAGCTCGAGATGTTCCAAGATTCATTCAGTGTTGGAACTCTCATTCATAAAAAAAACAAGAGCGCCCAAAGTTCATTCATAAAAGGCTGGCGAGGGAGGGAATGTGTCACGGGTTGTAGATTCGAAGGCTTGGCTTAGATCGAATCCGTTTTCTAATTGGCCTGAAACTGGTTATGAAGTTACGTAAGTAAAGGTGTAAGTATAGTTGTTTACCATCTGTTCTTAAGGCCGCCATCGGCGCTGGGGGCAGGGAAAGTCTCCAGAGAAAAATAAAGTTGCTAATTTTCATAGGTATGTTCTGTACCGAGTTTGCTTGAACATATCAATAGGGGGGGGGGGGATTTGCCACTTCTCCCTCCGAATTTAGAACTCAATTTCTAAATGGAAGAAGTGGAAAATAAGTTTTTTGTAAATAGGTTCAAAGGGATTTATGCCTTTAAAAGGTGTATTAAAAAGAACATTATTTATTTTATGAACATGGAAAAAAGAAGACACCTATTTGCTTAAAAGATACAGCTGTTTATCCTATAATAGACTAGACTAGACTAGAATTCTTTATTGGCCAAGTGTGATTGGACATACAAGGAATTTGTCTTGGTGCATACGCTCTCGGTGTACATAAAAGAAAAGATACGTTCGTCAAGAATCATAAGGTACAACACTTAATGATAGTCATAGGGAAATAGTCAATATAAATCATAAGGATACCAGCAACAAGGTTACAGTCATACAGTCATAAGTGGGAGGAGATGGATGATGGGAACGATGAGAAGATTAATAGTAATGCAGACTTAGTAACTAGTTTGACAGTGTTTGTTTAGCAGAGTGATGGCGTTCGGGAAAAAACTGTTCTGGGTAGGAGCTGAAACAGTTTATGTCCAGGATGCGAGGGGTCTGTAAATATTTTCATTGCCGTCTTTTTCACTCGTGCAATATACAGGTCTTCAATGGAAGGCAGGTTGGTAGCAATTGTTTTTTCCTGCAGTTCTAATTTTCCTCTGAAGTCTGTGTCTGTCTTGTTGGTAAAGCCATAGGCTTTAGCACATTAGGGGGTGTGAGGGTTTTTTTGTTTTTGTTTTTTTGAGATTGAAGGCCACTTGATCCTTTGCTGTAGGCTGCACATCAAAAAATATGGTAAAAGAGCAGACCCAAACAATTCATTAATTCATTAATTAACTAACAGAAATTAAAGAATAAGATGAACGAACAATGGATAAGGATGGATAAAAGACTGTACATTTAAATATGTTGATGAAAAATAAAAATAAAAAAAATTCAAAAAAAAAGAATCAAGGTACAACACTTAATTATAGGGGCATGGGTAAGGCGTTTTAAATTGGGGAGCCATTTTGGATTTAATTCTGTTTTAAACGTATTTTAATGTTTATATTGTACATTTTTTAATTTTGGCTGTTCACCGCCCCGAGTCCTTCGGGAGAGGGGGCGGTATAAAAATTTAATAAATAAATAAATTAATTAATTAATTAATTAATTAATGATAGTCATAGGAAAACAGTCAATATAAATCTTAAGGATATAAGCAACAAGGTTACAGTCATACAATCATAAGTGGAGGGAGATGGATGATAGGAACGATGAGAAGATTAATAGTAGTGCAGACTTAGTAACTAGTTTGACAGTGTTGAGGGAATTATTTGTTTAGCAGAGTGATGACGTTCGGAAAAAAAACTGTTCTTGTGTCTAGTTGTTCTGGTATGCAGTGCTCTATAGCATCATTTTGAGGGTAGGAGTTGAAACAGTTTATGTCCAGGATGCGAGGGGTCTGTAAATATTTTCACAGTCCTCTTTTTGAGTCATGCAGTATACAGGTCCTCAATGGAAGGCAGGTTGGTAGCAATTGTTTTTTCTGCAGTTCTAATTATTCTCTGAAGTCTGTGTCTGTCTTGTTGGGTTGCGGAACCAAACCGGACAGTTATAGAGGTGCAGATGACAGACTCAATAGTTCCTCTGTAGAACTGGATCAGCAGCTAAAATATTCAGAGCCATGAATATTAGGTTGAATCCAGATGTGGTTGACTTACTTCAGCATACAGTGCTTTGGCTGCCCTGCATTTCATTCGTTTATGCCAAGGAGTGAATCCATCATCTACTTGGCCAAGTGCTTGCATGAGCCACACAGTTTTTCTGTAGGGTAAGAACAGGCAAAGTCATCATCTACCAGAAAGGCAATCTCTGCCCAGTTTTTCCTGCTGGGTATTTCTGCCTTCCCCCACACTGCAACAAAGTGGGCATCTCTAGGTCCCTTCCCTGGAACAATGCATCTAGTGACACCTAAGAAGTACAGGTAGTCTTCAACTTATGACCACAGTTGGGATCAGAATTTCTGTTGCTAAGCAAGGCAGTTGTTAAGTAAATCACACCTGATTTTATGACTTAGAATAACTTCATTGTCACTTTGCATGTACACTAATAGGCATACGTTAAAATGAAATTTCATTGCATACAGCTCTCAAAGCATCTCCACTTCCAATATACACTACATAAACATGACCAAATAAATAAATACAAAATTATGCACATACCCACATATATTATGTGACACGGAGAAACAACACAGTCTAATTCAGATGTATACCTGTATATGGCGAGAAAAACAAATCTTGCAAGTTTACCAGATGGATGGCATAGGGAACAAGCTGTTACAGAATCTGGTATTCCTGCTAGAAATACTTCGACTGTTTTTGCCACAGCCGGTAAGCAAATCACTTCAGTTGTTAAGTGAATCCAGCTTCCCCCATTGACTCTGTTTATCGGAAGCCAGCTGGAAGCTCAGAAACAGCAATCACATGACCTCAAGATCAGTGGTGAAATCTAAAATTTGTTACTACCGGTTCTGTGGGCATGGTTTGGTGGGGTAATGTGACGGTGGGCGTGGCCAATTTTTTTTTTTTTTTTACTTTTAAAAGCATTTTTTCTACAACCTCTTCGGTGAAAAGGTTGTAAAAAACTGCTTCCAAAAGGCTCTGACGATCCCAATTGAGTTGCCTGATCAGCAGAGGCTCTTTAAAAAAGCCTCTGCCGATCAGGCAACTCAGCCTGGATCATCAGAGGCATTTAAAAGAAAAAAAGCCTCTGCCAATCAGGCAACTCAGCTGGGATTGTCAGAGCCTCTTGACAATCCCAGCTGAGCCGTGCGATCATCAGAGGCTTTTTTTTAAAAAGCATTTTTTCGGCCGAAGAGGTTGTAGAAAAAATGCTTTTAAAAGTTAAAAAAAAAGCCTCTGATGATTGTGCAGCTCAGCTGGGCATGGGGGGGAGGGGGCAGGGATTTTTGCTACCAGTTCTCCGAACCACCCGCATCTATTGCTACTGGATCGGGCGATCCGATCCGAACTGGGAGCATTTCACCCCTGCCCAACTGTTGTAGGCACATACTGGTTGCCAAACATCCAAATTTTGAATGGGGATGCTGCGATGGTCTTAAATGCAAACAGTTATGAGTCACTTTTTTCAGTACTGTTGAACTTCAAACAGTTGCTAAATGAATGGTTGAGAACTACCTATGTCTTGTGACAATATCTCACAAGCATGACCTCTCTTCCTTCCTCCTCCACCCCCCCACTCCTGAGATTTAATTGGCTCTGAGTCTTGATCCTCTTTCTTTCCAAGAAAACTTTGCAGCCCCTCAGGCACTGGGGTCAGGATATCGCATGAGTTCCCCTTGGGAAATGGGACACAGATTGTTATGCCCTGATCCTGTTCTTGTAACAGCATTTTTGTTGGGAGATTGTGATTTGTTTGTATAGTAGCATGTTGCCCAGTGTGAATTAGGAAGCCATATAAATCTAAAATGAAATAAGTAGATAAATAAATTTGGACTTCTCTGCCTTGGAGCAACCTGCCTTGCCTAATGAACACCTGTCCATGTAATGAACACCTATCCATCCTAGATGAGTTCAAATCACCAGGGCCCAAGGGATTACATCCCAGAATTCAGAAGGAGCTGGCAGGTGTGATCCCAGAACCATTGAACCATATTTTTCAAACATCCTGGAGTACCAGGAAACTGCCAGAGGATGGGAAAAGAACTGAGGTGGGTTCCCATCTTCAAAAAAGATAAAGAAATGGATTCAGGAAACTATAGACCAATCAGCCTGACATCAATACCTGGGAATAACCTGGAAAAGATAATCAAACAACAGATCTGTGAATACCTAGAAAGCAAGAGAAGTTATAACCAGAAGCCAACATGAGTTTGTCAAGAACAGATCATGCCAAACAAATCTTATTTCATTCTTTGACAAAGTGACCAAATTAGTGAACCAGTGAAATGCTCTGGTCATAGCGCTCCATGGCACAGGACCCGGATACCTTCGAGACCGTCTTCTGCCACCAATAGCCTCCCACCGACCAGTCCGTTCCCACAGAGAGGGTCTCCTCAGGGTGCCATCAGCCAAGTTATGTCGGCTGGCGACACCCAGGGGGAGGGCCTTCTCTGTGGGAGCCCCAACCCTGTGGAATGAACTGCCCCCGGAAATACGTAAGATCTCCGACCTCCGGGTGTTCCGCTGCGCACTGAAGACCCTGTTGTTCTGCCAGGCAGGGCTGTCAATATAATAATTTTAAATTGGGGTATTTTAATTTTTGGGGTTTTAAATCGGCCAAATCTATTTAATTATTTTAATTTTTAATTATTGTTGTGTCTTGTGTTTTTAAATTGGCTGTACACCACCCTGAGTCCTTCGGGAGAAGGGCGGTATAGAAATAAAATAATAATAATAATAATAATAATAATAATAATAATAATAATAATTATTATTATTATTATTATTATTATTATTATTATTATTATTATTATTATAGTACACATATTTCCCAAAGTACCAGAAGGCAGGGCAAGAAGCAGTGGTT